TATTTTTAAGTACATTTTCCTTTCTTATAAGTAGAAATGAAAAAAAAAATACAAAATATCAATAAATGTTTAATTTTTATGTCAGCGAATACTGACAAGAAATATTGTAATTTATTTGATCGCGCGAATTATGAAAATTCCATAGGGTATTGTCAACCAACGCGTAACAAAAACGTAAAAAAATCGTTTACGTTTTTTTGTTACGCGTTTTGTTGAATAACATTTTGTGGTTGAAAAATTGGTTGAAAAAATCGTCATGGTGATTTGGTTGTTATTCGTCTTGAAAAATTTCTCAAACGAAAAAATCGTTCAAACAAAGCTTCAACACAATCACCATTGAAATTGTAAAAAAATCATTCATTTATTACAAATCAAAGAATTTGAATTTAATTAAAAATATGAATAATAATCAAGTTATTAATCATGGAGAAACATCCATCACTCCTTTATATGATGGTAAAAAGCGTAGTAGTATAGTTTGGAAATATTTTGGTCATTTACTGATCAATCAAAAATCAGTCGATGAAAGCCTTTTTTTTTTGTAGTTTATGTCTGGAAGAAGGCATAATTAGTAACAAGTAAGTATTTAATATACTTTTTACGGAGGCCCACCTTTGGTGAGGTCACCGTATTGTATTCGACATTTTTGAAATGAACGATGATATTACTTAATTAGATAGAAAGATTAATTTATACAAACCTTTTCTTTAAAATCTCTAAATTTTTTAATCAAATTTAACTCTTTTGTTTTGTTTTTAATTTTTTCGTCTTTTTATGTTTTTTGCAACCTTTCAATAGAAAGAAAGTTTTAAAACTAAGTGATAAATTCAACTGATAGGAAGATTGCTTGAATTTTTATTTTCTCTTTAAAACTCTCGCGAGAGAATATCTTTATAACAACATCGTAATTAGGTAATAGCTTTTACATTCAATAATAATATTTCAAAAAACTGAAACTAAACAATTTCAAATTTTTTTTGTTTAATAATTATTTTTTAAAGACGCTAATAAAAATAATGGAAGGT